GTAAAGACAGTAAACATTTGAAATTTGTGGTATCGAAGACGAAACTGTGACATACATCCTCCACAAATAGGTTTACAAAGCCGCTCTGACACTGTGAGCTCACCAACTCTGTGCACCATTATTGAGCCAAATGTGTGAAAAGTCAATCATGTGTCTGTGTGTGGCCATCTGGTTTTGCATTTTATAAATAGATGTAGCAACAAACTGATCAGCCTGTGATGTTTTACTTCAGAATACCAGAGGAAGCACGCCTCTGTATTTCATATGAATTCACAGGAGACTCATTTAAATGCTTTACAATAAATGATTTAAATAGCTGTACAAAAAAAGACCATTACAAGTTTGTTTACCACAGAAGCTTACTTTGTGATTACTATGTTACTATGATCATTTTTTATAGTTATGGTTTCAGTCTCATGGTATTAGTCTTCATTTTTCTCCTTAACTCAATAAGTTTTGGTTCATTTCTGATTCACTCGAGCTCATTTAGACATTTACCTACAAAATGCTGATTTAAGTTAGTGTGTAAACTCACTGCTGGATGGCAGTTGATTGTACTGAACTGACTTCTGTTTTATTACCCCTCCCAACTTAAGCGCAAAATTGTAGCTATGGGGTCCTCTGTAGGACACACATGTATTAATCAGCCAGGAGAGATCAGAAACATTGCATTTAGACTGTTCCCATAATGGAATAATAAGGAATAATAATAATAATCATGGAATAATAAGAGGATGTTTTTAATACAATATTGTCAAATTTAAAAAAGAAAGGTGTTGAGACTTTATCGCAGTTAAATACATTATTTATTTCCAATAAAGCCTTTTAATAACCCCACCGAGTCCATGTTTGGAGTAGAAGCCTGATTTGAAGCAGCAATGACTACAGCAAGACAGCTCCCTACAGAACCAGCTTTACCCCCAGCCAGATATGCACACTGTTAGACCTCTGTGTTACCACCATGAATTGTAAATACAACGAGGCCATGGATTTGCCACGGGCTGCCCCGTGTTACCTATTGTAGCCAACCTTTACATGGAGAAAGTGGAAAGTAAAGGCTTTTTAAAAGAACAGCACCAAGCTGCTGTTACAGGTATGTGGATGACGCCTGGGTCACAATCAAAACCTAAGAAGTAGAAGCCTTTACTGTTCACATCAACTCAGTGGATAGAAATATAAAGTTCCCCGGGGAAGATACAAAGGATGACAGTTGCACATTGAGGAGAATAGAAATCTAAAGTTTCCCAGAAGCCTCCACACACAGAGCAGTACCTCCTCTTTGACTCCCACCACCCTCTGGAACACAAACTTGGACACAAACTGCAGTGTGTGCAGGGAATCATCAGCTCATCGATAAAGGCTTTCCTGTGTCATGGTTTGGCTGATTCAGGCCTCTTGATGGACTGCCTAATCTAAGGATAATGTGTGTACTCGTTGAGTTTACTACCACTGGGACCCAGTGTATCCAGATCCCAGGGTATCAGAGTCATGCATCAAACATTTTATAGATACTCTGTTTTCAGTTTAAAGTTGCAGTCAGCGACAAGCACCTGACT